AAGCCTAATATTAATCAGAGGAGACAGTTAATAGGCAGCATTTGATTTATACTGAATCTCTAGGTGACATATGGTAGAGGTGTGAATAAACTTCAAATCGATGACCTCCGCCCTTATCTTTAAAAAAAAAATCAACCAAACAAAAAACCTCTCTTTTAATTTGCTTCCCACCCAAGCTACCATTTTACCTGTCACCTTGCTTTCATGGTCACATTTCTTGTTCTCCTCCCCTGCATTCCCCAAGCCCTTGTAACCTGGGTTCTTCTCTCATCACCTGTAGAAAGTGACCTAACATGGGCAACTGAGTGGCTCAGTTTGTTAAGCCTCCAACTTTTGATCTCAGGTCAGGTCTTGATCTCAGGGTCGTGAGTTCAAACCCCAAGTTGGACTCCACATTGGGTGAGGAGCCTACTAAAAATTATTTTTAAAAAAGTGACCTAACAATCCTCAAATACTGTTCTCCATCTCAGATCTCCCAATCCTCAAATACTGTTCTCCATCTCAGATCTCCCTTCCTGTTTATCTTTTATGAACGCTCCACAAAGGTGCCTCCTCCCACCATATAGCTCCCCCCTAACTTGTTGTCACCTATCCTGCCACTAGTTTCCCTGCCACATATTTTGATGTTTCCATTGGGCTATTCTGCAGAAAGCTTTACTCTCAGGTGTACTTATTGTCAATGTGTTTCAGTTTATTTGTTTACCTAATAGTATTTATCAAATGTTCAATACTGGTAAGGCTACTTCTAACAATATGGCACACTAAAAATCTGAAAACCTCTCAGCTACAGAATCCCTAGAAACACTAGACAAATACGTAAAAAACCATTTAAATAAGGGGGAAAATACTGAGGATACATAAAAATAGGAGGAAAATCAAAATTATATGCAGGGTATTAAATAATCCTGAGGCTACCTTCTCAAGCAAAATCCAAATTCACATTTTTGATCACCTACTGCACAGCCTCCCGTGACTGTGTTACAAAAACCTCAAACTCGGTATAGGCTAAAGAAAGAAAAGCAAAAATCTTCCAAATTGTTTTATCATTTGTTCTCAGCCTAAGTGAATGGAATCACAGATCTTTCAGTCATTTCCATAGTTTCTGCATCATCCTCTTCCCAACTCCTCCTGTAACCTAATATCCAGCGTACCCGAAAAGAGTCCTGACCCCTATGTGTCTTTAGAATTAACTCCTGTTAATTCATTCTGTTTGATAAGTTCATGTGGTGGGGCTTCTCTCTCAGTTATCTCATGCATTCTCCAAATACTCTGCTAAAACTTCATTTTTTCTGTGTAAAGCAGAGACACTGACACTAGCTGATTCTTACCAAGCTCTGCTTGAGGATCTTCTGTGCCACAGCAGTGTGACCTCAATGATGCTTCCATGTCATTCTGAGCATCACACTTGCCTCAAAATCTCTACTGGGAACACTGAGCATACCAACCTATGGCCCTTAGCCTGGGTGGGTATTGATGCCAGCAAAATTAGCAGCTTGAGAAGCTGCTGCCTACACTAACCTTTTCCTCTGTGTATCCTACATACAAGGAGACACCTTGAATCAAAACTTAAATTTTACCAACTATTGGAATTCAAGTATGTCTGAGCATAAATCTGGAAAACTGGTGTATCGGGTATGATTGTGTCCACTCAAAGTTCATGTGCACAAGAGGGTGATGAGCACCTTGGGAGAGTGCATATCTCAGGAAATAAAGGTTAGGCAGAGAATACAGGTCATGAGCTAAAGCCTTGGTCATTGAAAAAAAGGAACAACTTTGAGTTTAATATAATATCAACTTCTCGTATACCCTTCGAAGCCTAGCACATCATGAAATCCTGTGTAAGCTCCATAGAAATTATGTGTCAGTTACAGAGATGAAATGGAGTGAAAGTCTTCATATTGTGATAAATACCAGACTGAGTTTCTGGTTGCCATCTTGTGCACTCAAAAGTGAAAAGATATCTCAGGCCTGGGGTCAGTGGGAGGGTTGACTGGAAAAGACGACATTTGCTTTCTCAACAACACAGGGCCATAGAGTCCAAGAGATTGAAACTCTGGCTTTAAGCTCAGCATAGAACAAGGAAGGAAGCAAAGGTCAGGGTGGCATGATATGAAGAAAGATCCAGGCAGAAGCGATAGACACAAAAGTAGAGTTTCAAGATATTGACTTGATAGTACAAGTCTTTAGTTCCCATTTCCCCACTTTTTGCTTAGCAAGCCTACATCTAAGACTCACCAACGTCATATTCCCGTTGCACCCTCTATCGGGACTCCCCACCCCCACAAAGTAGGTTATCAGCAGGAAGCTACAGCATCTAGTGCCGGAGTACCAGGTTAATCTGTATAAGCTAATATTATCCACACATACACATCAATAACCCCTTCTCGTGTATCCTGGTCAGGCAACTGAGGATTGCTTAATTATGATTGCCTCCCCAGATCTGTCCTATGTTTCTTCCTCTTCCTTGTTCCTTTACCTTTATTTTGGTACCATGATCAAACATTTTTTTCAGAGTCTCTCTCCCTCCTCTCTTTCTAACAGTGTACACATCCTCATAACTCCTGATATGCCTTCTGGAAAGTCAGTATCACAGGTATGCCATGAAAACTACTATGATATCTTTATCTAAATAATAATTGAGTGAAATGACTAGTCTAAAGATCAGCAATGAGCTGGAGACAGAACAGCGATGATTCTCAATATGTAATCTCCTCCTTAAGCAAAAGGAAATTGATCTCATATTGAATTATATCCACTTGATACTGACGGAATAGCTCACCACCTATTTAACATAGTGGAAATGCTGGATGAATAAGAGAGAGAGTCATATTGTGGCTTCTGGTCATCACTCCAGAGAATGAGTGGACCCAGTGTTTCTAAGCACCCTGGACAGTTCCTTTGCTCTCATTAGTCCTACCACTTGCATCTTTCCGTTTGGATAAATGGGTCATATTATCACTACATAGGTTTAAAAATCATATGTCAGAAAGTATCTCAGCTGTCATCTTGTACAACTTCCTTTTGAGAAGTGAAGAAGCTTAGACCCAGGGGTCGATCACTTAGTCCAAGATCACTACTATCTTATCTGGAATAAAAATGAGCAAACAAACAAACAAACAACTCAAGCCTCCTAGGTTGCATTTTAAAAGCCTTCTCTACCATCTATTCAGGTTTGTTAAGTTCCTCTTAATCATTATTTTACAAGTGAGAGAATCCAAGAAAGTTGGGAAATTCTAAACATATTTGCCAAAGTTAATGGCACTGATCATCATAACTGAGAGTATAATATGGAAGAAACTGTGTCATTTTTCCTACTTAGCTGAAGTTAAAACCCTGCCTTATTTATTTATTTGTTTGTTTGTTTGTTTGTTTGTTAATATTTTTGTTTATTTTTTCCCATGCCTCTATATATGGTTAGGATATGAAGATGTAACAAAATCCAGAGTCTCCAGGATGCCTGCGTGGCTCAGCAGTTGAGCTTCTACCTTCGGCCCAGGGGGTGATCCTGGAGTTCCAGGATCCAGTCCCACATCGGGCTCCCTGCATGGAGCCTGCTTCTCTCTCTGCCTATGTCTCTGTCCTTCTCTCCTGTGTGTCTCTCATGAACAAATAAATAAAATATTTAAAAAAAAACAGAGTCTCCAAGAAGCATGCCCCTCATGCTCCTTGGAGCAGGAAATGAGAGATTACATTCCCTCTAAGACATGGCCTTATATGTACATAAAGTAAAGTTGGTTCAAAATGCTCTTAACCTAATAATAAATCTTTGAACGCTAATTGTGCCTTGATTTCCAGCACATGTTTGTACCAATAACCTCATTTTAAAGTCACAAAGGCTTTTTGCTGTTATTGTTTTTGTTGAAAGCCAATGCTGGAGGTAATGTGCCCATAGGAACCTCTAAAAGTCCATTTTTGTGTAGAGTTACTTAAACTCATCCATACTTTCCATTCTGCATTACAGTCCTATTGGCAAATTTCCTTTCCAATCAGTTTCTATTAATGAATGTTAACACATGACATTTTAGGCTCTGCTAAGATGAAATATTGTCAAAATAAATAAGCCTTTCCAACAGTCATGTTCATTTCCTGTTTTCCCTATTTTCCTACTGTGATAGAAGTTTTTTTCCTTTTCTTTAATGTCCTTGATTTTGACACTTGCTTTTGTCTCCTGTACCTCTAATATAGCATATTTGCCAATGTAACTACTGTATTTAATTCTTCATTCTTATAATCTTACATATTCCCCTCCTAGCCTCATCTTTCATCCTTTCTGATCAACTAAAGTGAAAGCCACCCCAACCTCCTCTACCCCCATTCCCAGACTGACCTTTCTTGTCATCTGCAGGACATGAAGTGTTGCAAGAGTTCTTTCTGCTGCTATAAAGAAGATTAACAACAGTTGAGTTGCCACAGTCATACATTTCATTTGTAGCCCTCTTCACCCACCACCTAGAATCCAGACATCTAGCATTTCTTCCTTGAATATGATGTGGCCATACTGTCATCAACAACACAACATTTTTTGAGCACTTACTCTTATACAGGGACACAAAAGCTATGAGACATGGTATAAACCACCTAAAAGCTACAGAGAGTGAAAAGGTAATTCAGTGCAAGGTCATAGGGACTCAGAGATAATTCAGATTATGAGAGATCCGTTATGTATAAAAGGCTCAGAGAAATAGTTCCTTATTGGGTCAGGCTTGAACTGACCCTGAAAGAAGGAGAGGAGATACCCAAATGGAAAGGAAGAGAGAAAATATTCCATGGGTGATTTCGTGATTTTAAAAGTTGGCTTTCTGTATTCATAGAAAGTTCTTTGGTTGTTTTAAAGAATAAGGTTCTTCTTTGTTTTTTTTTTTAAGTTTTTGGTTTAATTCCAGTTAATTAACATACAACATAATATTAGTTTCAGGTGTACAATATAGTAAATCAACATTTCCATGCACCACCCAGTGCTCATCACAAATGTATTCCTTAAGTCCCATCACCTATTTTTTAAAAATATGGAACATTTCATGAATTTGTGTGTCATCCTTGCTCAGGGCCCATGCTCATCTTCTCTGTATCATTTCCATTTCAGTGTATTTGCTGCCCAAGTAAGCACATCCATAGATAGTTCTATTCAAAAAGACTCTTCAAAAGTCTGTTTGAAGGACAAAAAAAAATCACATATTTGTATACATTAAGGCCAAAATTTTAAAACCTCTTTATATTAATGTTCTGAACATTAAGAAACACAGAGTAATTATTCCTGATGTATCTTTGTATACTTTAATCAGTTTCTTAGCTGTAGCAGACTTGAAAGCTGTCACAAATGTTTTGCTGTAGAATTTATTTTTATTAAGACAGTCTTATCATTTTTAATTTTACCCTAAAGTTTCTTTTAATTTTCTTAAAAGTTAAATTTTTGTTTAATAAATTTGAAATTATTGGCTTTGCCAATGGACTCATCTTTTAGACCATGTTATATTTTACTGAGAAAAATCTCCAGGTGGTCAGGTGACATCAGACCAAATTCTACTAAATACAGAATATTCCTAATTCTAATTCTTTGTAAGGAAGTATACAAATATTCAGCTCAAATGTCTTCAATGTTTCTGTTTTTGGGTTTCCACCCAAATTACTTTCATTTCACATAGGATCAAACTCTTCAAATAAAATGCTTCTATCTGTCACATTTAAAAATAACAGCCAGAAGGGAGGGGGCTGGACAAAATGAGTGAAGGGGATTGGGAGATACAACCTCCAGCCATGGAATGAGTAAGTCATGGAAATAAAAGGCATTCATAGAGAATACAGTCAATGATATTGTGATAATGTTGGATGGTGACAAAAGATAGCTACACTTGTTGTGAGCATAGAGTAATGCATGAAGAAGTCGAATCACCATGTTGTACACCTTAAACTAAGATAACATTGTGTGTCAACTATACTCAAAAACTTCTTAAATCCTTAATAAGTAAAATAAATGTTTCATAAAATGCAAATATTGCAAAATCATAAGGCTTCTCAACTTCATTTCCATTCTGGAAGAAAATATAAATGCATCTAATTAAAAATAAAGTTTCCATTAAAAGACTATTTCCCAAAGTTGAGGTATGTCAGGGTTTTATGGAATTTCAAGATTAAGGCTTATATATTCTGAATTCTCAACATCACATTATACAAAATGTGCCCCACGCTGGTACTCAAGATCATTTTTTTCTGCATTTTTATTAATTTTCAGGATCATCTCACTTGGACATTTTATTTTTAGTAATTGCAATTTTCTAAAATCTTCAAAAACTAAAGGTTTTCAGTGTGCCAATTATTGATTTTTTTTTTTTGACAGTGGCTGACCTGCGAGCACACAGTCTCCAGCCTGTCCTTAAAGGACAAAAAGTTGGCCACCCTGGCACAGGAGCTTCTGGGCCCCAGCCATCATGAACAGTAACTGCATCCTGCATTGCAGACAACAAGCGGAACATCCCAAAAAACTTTAATAAAAGAATGCCAAATGATTTGAAATAAAATGGAATTCAAATCAGGTAACTCATTTACAAAAAAAAAAAATTTTCAAAAACTTCATAGGACCTGTAGGATGATTTACATAAAGTTTTAACATTTGTAACATTTGCTCATCGACAGGTAGCAAAACATTTACCTCCTTTTATTTCCTTTATATTCAATGTCAGCTTCCTAACCAAAAATTAAGTTTAATTATTTTAACTATAACAATAAAAAGTAGTTGTAAATGTTATCAGTGATAGCTTCTATTTTTGACTATGGCTTGTGGCTTGTTTGGATAGACACAGTTTGAGTAATATGTTTACCGCTAACTCCATACACACTTCTGTTTCACAGATTTCTTCACTTTATAACAACACTGATCATTTTGAGGATATGCCCCACCAAACTTTGTATTTATCTCATCATCACAAAGTATATAAACTGTTTCAATGTTGAAAAATTTTTTTTGTTTTTATTTTATTTTTTTTTGAAAAAATTTTTTAAAAGATTTTATTTATCCATTCATGAGAGACACAGAGAGAGAGAGGCAGGCAGAGACACAGGCAGAGGGAGGAGCAGGCTCCATGCAGGGAGCCCGACGTGGGACTTGATCCCAGGTCTCCAGGATCATGCCCTGGGCTGAAGGCAGCACTAAACCTCTGGGCCACCCAGGCATCCCTCGATGTTGAAAATTTTAACTAAATTACAGTAATATTCAAAATAATGTCAAAAATTTCACCTTTGGAAGAATGAACTTCCAGAAGCTTTACTTGATCCTATGACTGGGAGAAAACCTGTTTTGGGGATACTATCTTTATGGGCTTTCAATTTGAAACATATGACTCAGCCTTTTTCCACCAGGATTCTTTGAGAGAATTAAACTCCTCTGGCTCCAAGGCATCTATTGTATGTAATGGCATGCACATCTGGAATGATACTGGTTATCTACCATCTTGGGAAAAACTGAGAAAATAGTCTCTCAAGTCACTTTTCTGTGTTTTGTGGTTCAGCCCAGAAACTCAGTTGATCGCACTAATATAAAACTGTCATCATTTAACGGCTACTGAATATTTCCTTCCATAAAAGGAGCCAACACAGTTAATAGTTATTACTTCAGTTTTTGTATTATATACACAAGAAAACTTGGTATAAAAAAATCAGAAAAATTATCTTAGAATATTCACTTATTTAAATGTGCATAAAAAGTCAAGCTTCCCATTATTATATGTAAACACACCCTCTAGAACTATAGATATTAAATTATTGCACTCAGGCATGGTCTTGCTAAATTAGTAATTCTCTAGTGGATGCTGATGCTTCTTCAGCAGATTTGTGTTTTCATGTTGCCATGTGGTCAGTGACCGCCGCAGCCTCGGGGGGGACTGGTGAATGTGGACAGACCTTGTCTTCAAGTTACCCATTCATCATCAACTCCCATGAGAATAGAATGAAGATGTAGTCTTTGAATTTGCATTTAACAGGCCTTGAATTTGGATCCAACAGGCTCTTTTCTTCCTTTGAACTTATTTCTGTCAAAAAGGCTTATTGCAAAAGAAAAAAAAATGTACCACCAAACATTGAACTGTTGGCTGTAGACTTACATCACATATATGATGACAAAAATCACCATAGCGAAAGCCTTCACACTACTCACTATGTGATCTACACAGGACTGCCCAGTTTCCAGTTCACACACACATTTCATGTAGACCTCACAGAATTTCCCATGTGTCTCATTCATTGCTCCTGCCAACCAGGGGCCTGGCAGCTTTATGCATCTCTCAGGTTGTAGCAGGAGTCACAGGAAGGCCATGTCACAACTGGCTGGCAAATCAAGTGGCCACCAGGGCAGCAACTTCAAATGCCTCCACTGGCACCACTCAAGACCAGAAAAAATTAACCACCCCATATGGCTTGTATCTGAGCAGATTTCATCACCAATCACTTGACGTTCCTCCCTTGAGAAGGAGGCATCTATTAGTTGGTCTTAAAGCAGCAATTTAACCACACAGTCAACTGAGAGCTGCTGTGCTCACTATAATGTGGCTCATACAATTCTAGGAGACATCAGATGGGAAGTGTTAGCTACAAAGTAGAAGTCCACCAAGACTAACCTAAATAAGTGTTATTATTATTTTAATGCAACAATTAATATTAATACTTCAGCAGCCAGTGAACAATCCAGAGCAAATGCTAAATTGGACAGAATGCTGAACAATAGACAAAATACGAAGATGGTTGCCAGCAAATTGAGACGTAAGATTACTTGTACTTTAAGTAAACAAACAAAATCATCTAAGCAGATTTTTTTTCTTAAAAATATTTTAATTTCCAGGGGCGCCTGGGTGGCTCAGTTAGTTAAGCATCCGACTCTTAATGTCAGCTCAGGTCATGATCTTGGGGTCGTGAGATCAAGCTCAACATGAGGCTCCATGCTGGGCATGGTGCATGCTTAAGATTCTCTCTCTCTGTCTCCCTCTGCCCCTCCCCACCCCCGCTCCTGCTCTCTCTCTTTCTCTCTCAAAAAAGTGTTTTTTAAGTTTCCAAATTATAATGTTCAGTAAACTTCGTGGTTTTATTACATGGTTTCTTTAAGGAAAAAAGGGGCACCTGAGTGGCTCAGTTGGTTAAGTATCTGCCTTTAGCTCATGTCATGATCCCAGGGTCCTGGGACCGAGTTCCACATCAGGCTCCCTATTCAGTGGGGAGTCTGCCTCTCCCTCTTCCTCAGCCCCTCCTCCCTGCTTGTGCTCTCTCACTCACTCTCACACACAAATAAATAAAATCCTTTTTTAAAAAACTCTGCTAAAATGAGTATATTCCAAATTTATTAGCCTAAACCAAATGAAGTTGCCATCTTTACAGTGCAAAAATAGTTGAATATCAACAACTTCAGATTAGTAATCTTAACACTTTGATAAAGTCCACAGTTTAGAAGCCATGTTGTTGAAGCTGAAGAACAAGAAAGAATTTTGGAGGAAATACAAGAAGAAAACATGCACACATTCCAGGAGAGGACTGGGAAATGGAGGATCAGGGCCATAAAAATTATGAAGAGGTCTTTGCTTTAATTACGTTCCTAAAGTTTTATGAAATGTGTCTTGAGCAAGATCTACCCTGAAATATTCTCAAGAGGGTATGAGTTCAGAAACCAAAAAAGGAACCAGAGGCTCACAGAGGATACCAGTAATTTGTCTGGCACTTTGCAAAGTGAGAAAGAGAATTGAAAACCGAATGGGACCGATTAGACGTGAAAAGAAAGAAAAGCAAGAACAGATTCTCAGGGAAGCTTGGGCCTTGCCCTGAGGTGTACCAGTCACGCACTTAAAACCCTTTAACATCAAAACCCTGTTTAACACATGCTAACGCCCAGCTGGATGTGATTTCCAATTCTCCCCTTAATTTTTCTCAGGTGCTGAACTTGTAAGGCCCCCAGCTTCATGGAGCTCGTGATGTGGTCGGATCTGCCTAGCTGAATGCCATGCCACAGAGGTATTTACAGCAACAGGGGGTTGGTGAGGGAAACTATCCTATATTAATTTGGGACAGCAGGAAACATATGGTATTGGGGAGAAAAGTACCAGTATTGCGTGATTGGTCACATCGCTCAC